TAAGATTCAAATTATAAACTAAACTAACACTAAACTGAGGCTAATATCAATAATTAAATACATTCACTCATCCCGTAGAAGTCAAATAACCTGTAAAATTAGTATATTGTACCTCCTAGTTAGTTGTCATGTCTAAAGGTACTTTATAATACAAAAAAAATTATTTATTAAAATTCACTCATTATTAATTAAAATTATTAATTAATTGAGAAGATTGATTTTCAATTTGGAAAGTTTGAAATCACCTCTATCTTATTAGTATAGATGAGATAGAGAGAGAAATAGAGTTAAATAAGAGATAAGAGTCTTAAAAAATTTTGGCGTGAGGACCGTCAGATTAATAATCGTCAAGAGATTTGAGTCGTGAAAAACTAAAGATAATAAAATTTAGCTATTTTATTATTATTATTATTATTATATATATATAAAGAGAGAGAGAGAGAGAGAGGAGATGAGATAGTGTGTTTAAAACTTCTAAGAGATAAGAGAGAGAGTTATATGAGAGAGAAATGTTAGAGTTAAGTCAAATTATGATCGTCAAATCAGTATTTATAAGATGATATGAATTTCTTTTTGTATTGAGATTCAAACTCAACTCTACTCTATTATATAGACAGGTGAGAGAGAGAGAGAGAGAGAATAAAGGGTGAAAATAGAATTGGGAGGAGAAGAGAATGGGGTAGTCCATCTTACAGCTCTGGCCAGCTCATTACAATCCATCTTAGCCCAACCTAGCTCTAAATAGTAGGAATTCAAATGGGAGTTGGATACCAAAATAACGGGGTAAGATAAATACAGATAAGAATAAGTTGACAAATGTAAAGATGCATATGAACATGAAAATTAGGACGTAGTCTGCAACCCTTATACTTTGCGATCAAATCATGTATGTAATTCACAGCTTCTAGTAGCATTGAATCGTTTTGAGTTTTTAGTAGCATTAGAGGATTTACTCTCAGACTCTTTCGATCTTTGACTTTTTTTTCTTATCTTATCTTGTGATGTTCCAATCTTGTCAAACATGAAGGTATATTGAAGGAGATAGTGTGATGAAATTTACAAGGGAATAAAGACTAGTTACAACTTACAACTTATCTTTAAGTTATCACAAAGAAATTTACGTCGGTCCTAAAGCATTAACATTTAAATAATTTTATTTTATGTTGACTTAATTAGATAGAATCATGACCTCAATTTGATTAATTAATAACTTCAGTACTATTTCTTCCTTCTAAAGTACCCGAGGGCACTCCAATCCAAGTAGCAGTGTTAGGCGAAAATGATATATGAGGTCTTATTAATATTTATTCATTAATAATTGTAGTATTAAATAGTTATAAGAATATTTTTTATTTAAAAATCATTTTTTTTTGCCTTTTAAGATACAACATGCTAATTAAATTTCAAATTAACTAATAAAATGAATTGTTTTTGAATAAATATATAAAAATAGAAATTTATACATATTGAATGGTCCTAAAATAAATGAGACATTACTAGATACTATAGATAAAATTTAAATAAGATAACTCTAGTTAATTAATTTTAGATAGTTCACTATTTCTACTCACTCTATTTTATAATCGTTCTGTGCATTGTAAACAAAATAATTAAAAATTGGCCTCAAATTTAACTTATAAAAATGTAAAATTATTATTCGTACTTATTATACGATGGACAATTGATTTTAATAATAAGATTGCGAAGTGTAATACATATAACATAAACATTAGATGAGATAAAAAAAAAATTAGGTTGAATGCTACGGCTCCAAATTTTTTTGAGCTAGGTTTTAAAAATTTTACAATAAGGTTATTTATACTTAACTTAATAACCAAATATATTGGATAAATAGTAAATTTTGTTTAAAACTAGAATTTATTGTCACTTCAATAATTAAAATGCATTTACTATTTAAATTATATACCATTTTTTAAAATTTTATGCTAGAACTCCAAATTTTTCTTCTAATTTGAAGGCTCTAGGAAATGGCCTGGCTTATGCCCTAAAAGTAAGAGGTGTTAATTTGTGTCGTAACTTGTAGGTTGTGTCATTATTATTTGTGTTATTTTTGTGTCAAAATTTATTAAAAAAAAATATTTAATGTATTGAATAATAAATATTATAATAAATTATTTATTATACATATTTAATATTTATGTTAATTGTATCATATTCGTATAAACTCATCAGAGTTGACACCAGACAGACGTACAAGCACCGGCAGGATAAGCTACTGTAGAAGTCAAGAGATACCAATTATCTTGAGCAGGGAGAGGACTACGGTACTCCTAACGCAGGTAAGTAGCTGGTGAGAGAGAGAATACACCATGCCAGAAAGGTACCCACTACCAAGTATTTCTTGGCTGCTATGATTTTGACCACACACGAGAGAGTGAGATCTCTTTCTTTCTTTACGAGACTCTACTTCCAAATGGTTAAATCTTTCTCGGATTATTCCAGATCGAATGTCGTTATCCATAATTTTATTATACTATATAGGGCAAAATCTATTTTACCCTCTTGTAGTTTTGGCTGTTTTGCACTTCATCCCCAGTGGTTCAAAAATTTAGCACATAACCCCGATGTTATTTTGGACTAAACTACACTGCCAGCACTGTCAACAGCGATGACAAAAAGACCAGTATGCCATCTATATCATCTGAACAAGCTTTATCTTCTCTTCCCTGTTATTTTATTCTTTTACGCTACAATCACTGAATCACACCACCACCATGTCTTCCACGCTGCTGTGCATTGGCGCCCCCATTTCGATTTCTAAAAATCAAAGTTGAGAACAAATCAAACAAGAGGGAGAAGTTGTTGACTGTCTAAAGGAGATGGATATTTTTGTGTTTTGGTCAAGTTTATAAGGTTATAGTTGTCTTTTGATATGCTGACACGTGATATTGTCGTGTGTACTATAATTTTCGTCAATTTGGATGGAAAAACTAGCAGTGGCACTTTGTTCCAAAACCACATGGGGTTATATACTGACTTGTAAACCATAGGGGGTGAAGTGCAAAATGATTAAACCACATAGGGGGTGAAGTACAAAATGATTAAACCACATAGGGGTAAAATGATATTTAACCTACTATATATGCTTGGTTGTAGGTACCTCTAACAGCATCTCCAACGATACTATCTAAAATACCTATTCAAAATATATTTAAATATTATATTTTTTACTTTAATTAACCACTTTTTCAAATTTATTCTAACAACGCTATCTATTTTGACTAACCACTTCAACTAACTTTTAATAATAAAATTCAAAAACTAGCAATTCAACTATACATTATACAAATTTAATCGATTATAGGCTACAAGAGAGAACCCACCTCCCAAAAATTACTACTCCCAAACCAAATTCTCTCAAATTAAATCAGAAAATTCAAAACAAAATCACCTTAAATTACACAAATAACCAAAGTTAGATTTTTGGGAGAAGTTTACTGAATTTTTAGGGAATTTTATTGAATTTTTTGGGGGTGTTGCTGGATTTTTTGGGAGAGTTTACTGAATTTTTAGGAAATTTTGTTAGATATAATTAGTGAAAGTGGCTAGTTAGATGTAGATAGTGAAAATGAAATTATGAAAAATAGATAAGAGAATAACTAATCTGTTAGAGCCACATTTAAGAAAGAAACTATCTAAAATAGCTAAAAAAAATAATTTTAGCTAGTCTTTCGGAATTGCTCCAAGTCTGTAACACAGATAACCCCCAAGAAGATACTAATTGTCACACTAGGATGTCAACAATCTCTCTCTCTCCTTTACATCGTGTCATATCATATATATAAAACATGCAAGTTGGGTTATGTCAAAATTTATTTAACACAAATTAAATATATTTAGTTATGTACAAATTAATTTGAGTTGTACACAGATCATTTTTACAGAATTTGTGTCAGTTCAATTAATTATTAAATGAGTCGGGTAAGTCAACTCACTTATAATGCTCATTCTCATCTGTTAAAGTTAAATAGTCTAAATTTAGATCCAGTAACTTTGTATCGAAGTGGGGAGTGCTGTTAAAATTATCGATCATACTTATACCTAACATAAGATTGGATCTTAGTGCCATTATTCTCAGCTAATTTTTGAGTTTGGGGGAGGATGTCACACATGAACTTAGATCATTTGGGGTGAGTGAAATATTTGATAATTTTGAACAATAGTTGTACAATTAAAGGGCTTGCTAAACAGCAAAGCCAATTTATACTTTCATGACAAACAAGCCTAATTCCATCACATTATGAATAGAGAAAGTCCATTGGCTTGGAAAAATGTCAAAAAAAAGTGCACCAAGAACTGTCCCATCAGAATAATCAACATCGAAATTCCTTTGGATTTCCACAAACAATGCCTTGGTTTTCATGACCCATCAAACAATCAGAAGAAAAAAGAGCAGGACCCATCTTAAAAGGAATGCCCCAGACATTCAAACAAATCCAATCAAATTCCCCTTTACAAACTTTTGTGATGGCCAACATGAAGCACAGATGCGTCAAATCACACAAACAGCTCCCCGAACCCCCCACCCCACAAAACAAACTCATCTTCCTCTATTTTTCTCATTGCTTTCAGCCTTTTCAAGGACACAAGAAAGCATCCCAAGCACACCCATCAAAAGCTTGGGTTGCAAGAGATATTATAACATCAAAAAGAAATAAAAGAAAGATTGAAAGTAATGAAACAAATTGAACAAATAATAAAAAAACCAAGAAGACTGACTGTTATGAAAGCAGCTTTCAAGTTCCATCTTCAATGCCTGTTGTACTTGGGAAAAAAAAATGGGCTCTTTATGTAACCCAAAGCTCTGCTTTTATTTCTCCTCCCCCTCTTCTTTTTCTCCTTTCTTTGGCAATGTTGATTATGAGACACCCAATCAATGGCAAATCATATGCATGGAGGGATGAAAAATCAAATCACTCGTTAGACAAATAATGATAAGAATGCAATCTAAAGAATTTCCTTGCAAATTCCAAAATTTTCTAGCCGTGTCGTTTCGCCTTCTCCTCAGGTGTGCCATAGTTCTGATCATTATCATCAAATGTAAGCCTCTTTCTTTTGGCAGAATTTTCATTAACATTGGGCATTCTCATTTGTATTGGTGACAAAATTGAGGATATCATATGGTTAGGTAATTTAATTTTCTCGATGTTTAAATCCCGCATTCGAGTATAACAAGAAAACACATCCACCTGCACCATAAAAATACATCAAGACCCATCTCAGTATATTTGCATATAATTCCATATCCTATCTAGACATACACAAAAATAAGTAAATAAAAAGTACCAAAAATTAAACAACATTAAGGTAAGGACTTACAATTTCAAGAAATCCACTTGGAAACAAGGCATTAATCTTGACCTCTAAAGACTGTCTAGTTAATTTTTGATCCAATGCCACCAATACAGCAGCCACAGCTATAACAGATGGTCTATGCTCCATTAAATTGGAATCATCTGTACATACAAAGCAAATAGCAAAACACATAACACACAATAACAATCAATTCAACAGGCCATAGAACACAGAACTAGATTCTGGTTGTTAAATAACCATCTATTCTAAAAAATTAATCTGTAAGATAGATTATAACTTTAATATTTATACTTTTAACATGTCCCGTCACGAGCAGGTTAGATTTTAGACCTAGTGAAAATCTTTCAATTAGGGTGGCGATGAGGTTAAGCTTTCAGAGTAGATGATAATGTTCACATATTACCTCTCATTGTAGCCAAGATAGCTCCCACAGTTGTAGACCCAATGTTTCTTGAGGANATATTTAACCTACTATATATGCTTGGTTGTAGGTACCTCTAACAGCATCTCCAACGATACTATCTAAAATACCTATTCAAAATATATTTAAATATTATATTTTTTACTTTAATTAACCACTTTTTCAAATTTATTCTAACAACGCTATCTATTTTGACTAACCACTTCAACTAACTTTTAATAATAAAATTCAAAAACTAGCAATTCAACTATACATTATACAAATTTAATCGATTATAGGCTACAAGAGAGAACCCACCTCCCAAAAATTACTACTCCCAAACCAAATTCTCTCAAATTAAATCAGAAAATTCAAAACAAAATCACCTTAAATTACACAAATAACCAAAGTTAGATTTTTGGGAGAAGTTTACTGAATTTTTAGGGAATTTTATTGAATTTTTTGGGGGTGTTGCTGGATTTTTTGGGAGAGTTTACTGAATTTTTAGGAAATTTTGTTAGATATAATTAGTGAAAGTGGCTAGTTAGATGTAGATAGTGAAAATGAAATTATGAAAAATAGATAAGAGAATAACTAATCTGTTAGAGCCACATTTAAGAAAGAAACTATCTAAAATAGCTAAAAAAAATAATTTTAGCTAGTCTTTCGGAATTGCTCTAAGTCTGTAACACAGATAACCCCCAAGAAGATACTAATTGTCACACTAGGATGTCAACAATCTCTCTCTCCTTTACATTGTGTCATATCATATATATAAAACATGTAAGTTGGGTTATGTCAAAATTTATTTGACACAAATTAAATATATTTAGTTATGTACAAATTAATTTGAGTCGTACACAGATCATTTTTACAGAATTTGTGTCAGTTCAATTATTAAATGTGTCGGGTAAGTCNTTGTGTCAGTTCAATTAATTATTAAATGAGTCGGGTAAGTCAACTCACTTATAATGCTCATGCTCATCTGTTAAAGTTAAATAGTCTAAATTTAGATCCAGTAACTTTGTATCGAAGTGGGGAGTGCTGTTAAAATTATCGATCATACTTATACCTAACATAAGATTGGATCTTAGTGCCATTATTCTCAGCTAATTTTTGAGTTTGGGGGAGGATGTCACACATGAACTTAGATCATTTGGGGTGAGTGAAATATTTGATAATTTTGAACAATAGTTGTACAATTAAAGGGCTTGCTAAACAGCAAAGCCAATTTATACTTTCATGACAAACAAGCCTAATTCCATCACATTATGAATAGAGAAAGTCCATTGGCTTGGAAAAATGTCAAAAAAAAGTGCACCAAGAACTGTCCCATCAGAATAATCAACATCGAAATTCCTTTGGATTTCCACAAACAATGCCTTGGTTTTCATGACCCATCAAACAATCAGAAGAAAAAAGAGCAGGACCCATCTTAAAAGGAATGCCCCAGACATTCAAACAAATCCAATCAAATTCCCCTTTACAAACTTTTGTGATGGCCAACATGAAGCACAGATGCGTCAAATCACACAAACAGCTCCCCGAACCCCCCACCCCACAAAACAAACTCATCTTCCTCTATTTTTCTCATTGCTTTCAGCCTTTTCAAGGACACAAGAAAGCATCCCAAGCACACCCATCAAAAGCTTGGGTTGCATGAGATATTATAACATCAAAAAGAAATAAAAGAAAGATTGAAAGTAATGAAACAAATTGAACAAATAATAAAAAAACCAAGAAGACTGACTGTTATGAAAGCAGCTTTCAAGTTCCATCTTCAATGCCTGTTGTACTTGGGAAAAAAAAATGGGCTCTTTATGTAACCCAAAGCTCTGCTTTTATTTCTCCTCCCCCTCTTCTTTTTCTCCTTTCTTTGGCAATGTTGATTATGAGACACCCAATCAATGGCAAATCATATGCATGAAGGGATGAAAAATCAAATCACTCGTTAGACAAATAATGATAAGAATGCAATCTAAAGAATTTCCTTGCAAATTCCAAAATTTTCTAGCCGTGTCGTTTCGCCTTCTCCTCAGGTGTGCCATAGTTTTGATCATTATCATCAAATGTAAGCCTCTTTCTTTTGGCAGAATTTTCATTAACATTGGGCATTCTCATTTGTATTGGTGACAAAATTGGGGATATCATATGGTTAGGTAATTTAATTTTCTCGATGTTTAAATCCCGCATTCGAGTATAACAAGAAAACACATCCTCCTGCACCATAAAAATACATCAAGACCCATCTCAGTATATTTGCATATAATTCCATATCCTATCTAGACATACACAAAAATAAGTAAATAAAAAGTACCAAAAATTAAACAACATTAAGGTAAGGACTTACAATTTCAAGAAATCCACTTGGAAACAAGGCATTAATCTTGACCTCTAAAGACTGTCTAGTTAATTTTTGATCCAATGCCACCAATACAGCAGCCACAGCTATAACAGATGGTCTATGCTCCATTAAATTGGAATCATCTGTACATACAAAGCAAATAGCAAAACACATAACACACAATAACAATCAATTCAACAGGCCATAGAACACAGAACTAGATTCTGGTTGTTAAATAACCATCTATTCTAAAAAATTAATCTGTAAGATAGATTATAACTTTAATATTTATACTTTTAACATGTCCCGTCAATTAGGGTGGCGATGAGGTTAAGCTTTCAGAGTAGATGATAATGTTCACATATTACCTCTCATTGTAGCCAAGATAGCTCCCACAGTTGTAGACCCAATGTTTCTTGAGGAAGAGTCCTTGCACAACTTAGTGATGAAGTAATGAATATAAGCAAAAGGAGTAACAAAGCCCATCCTCCATTCCAATGTATTCAATACCAGAAGCTCCATTCTCTGTATGACTTTGCTTTCAAAATTGAATTCCTCCACAGAAAACTCCGAAAGTGCTGGAACTGTACATTCCTCCATCTTTGCCGCCAAAGATAAACATGCCACGGATAGTAATCGAATGGCCCAATATTTCTTATCACCCTGAATGACAAGCAAAATGGATAAAAATTGAAAACCCAATACAAAAACTTAAAAAAAATTACTCCCATTGAGAGAAACCGAGCAAAAATGATCAAGACCAATACAAAATTTATCGAAAATTTCAATTCGAAATGGAAATTTGGGCACCGCCCTACTGTTAGACCTTATGGAAAATTTCAATTAACGGGTTAGTCTAACGACCATCGCCCCTGTTGAACTTTAAAGTCATGGGTTTGAACCTACAAGAAATGCCTTGAGAGAATGGAAATTTGGGCACAACTTACATCAATAAGTCGCCTTGAGAGAAACCGATCAAGATATGCCACTGATAAGTAGGCTGTTTGGAATTGGAATCCGAACAATGCTGTTTTCTGTTTCACGAGAAAAAAACAATTCACAAACTTAAATCAGTTATTGAGTCAATTTATACAGCTCAATCATACAGTTTGAAAGAGTAAATTGGACTGGGACTTGAAACAAACATTAAGAATCCAAGTGACTGCGTCCGAGCGAGCGCATTTAATCCAGTGACTGATTATAATGTGAGAAGAAGAGTCAAAGAAACTGATCTCACTATTCACCACCATTTGCACATATTCATCGTCTTCTTCTGTACTTAGCGTGACGAGGAAGGTGTCTTCATCATAGCAAGTTTCAGTTTCTTGACAAAGGAGACTGGAGGGAGAAAATGGAGACTGAGAATCAGAATCCTCCATGTGTGTATCTCTCTGTTCTCTCTCTCTACATCCGTCAATATTAACAGAAAAATCTAGGAGGATTTGTGCGAGCTGCTTTGGAGATTTGATTTGATGGGTATTAGATTAGCAGTTTTTCCACAAATATAGCGGGGATGTGATTTGGTGGTGTCTTTTGAAAATTTAAGCAGACTTTATTGATGGTCTCTCCCTCTCTCTATCTCTCTCTAAATGTGGCGAGATTATAGTCATGGCTTTGGGGTTTTGAGGAAGGTGGTGGAGGAGAGTGGCGTGGTGGTGGGGATGAGAGGGAGAGGGGGGGTGTTTAGCTGCTTAATTGAGTATGCCACGACTTAGCTTTGACTGAATTTGCTTCGGTTTCGGGGCAGGACTGTACGCGACCAGCGGTTGCATGAGCGTCACGAGCTAATAAGGAAGCGCCAAGCTGGCAGTACGACTAAAGAGTTAACGTAAGCCGACGCGCTTCTTTTTTGATTAGATGGGTTTGGGGCCCCCAAGCTGAACTGTGAAGCCCAGTCCAGTAAGGTCTACTGACTAGACTAGTCTAGCAGTATAACATGTCAGAACTCAGAGGTAAAAAACTTCCGGCCCACCACTAAATATGTTTTATTTTATCTTATTTAACCTATTTCTGAAAAACAGATTCGCGAATCAAGTCAGAAGGGAAAANTCAGAAGAAAAAAGAGCAGGACCCATCTTAAAAGGAATGCCCCAGACATTCAAACAAATCCAATCAAATTCCCCTTTACAAACTTTTGTGATGGCCAACATGAAGCACAGATGCGTCAAATCACACAAACAGCTCCCCGAACCCCCCACCCCACAAAACAAACTCATCTTCCTCTATTTTTCNTATTTAACCTTTTTCTGAAAAACAGATTCGCGAATCAAGTCAGAAGGGAAAACGAACTACAATTTCAAATATTTTAAATTTAAATATTAGTAATTTTTTTGGAATTTGATGAGATATTTATCTTTCATGAACATTCTAATTCCAACATAGATAACTTGTCTCTAGCCGAACAAAAAGAGAATTAATTTATATGTGAATAAATCGTCCCAAACATTTTTAAATGTTAAACAAAAAAATAAAAAAAAGGGTAGCCCGGTCCACAACTTCTAATTGAAAGTTCAAAAAAGTAAGAAAAAAGAAACTTCTAGTTGAACCNCCTTTTCAAGGACACAAGAAAGCATCCCAAGCACACCCATCAAAAGCTTGGGTTGCATGAGATATTATAACATCAAAAAGAAATAAAAGAAAGATTGAAAGTAATGAAACAAATTGAACAAATCATAAAAAAACCAAGAAGACTGNAGTCTAGCAGTATAACATGTCAGAACTCAGAGGTAAAAAACTTCCGGCCCACCACTAAATATGTTTTATTTTATCTTATTTAACCTATTTCTGAAAAACAGATTCGCGAATCAAGTCAGAAGGGAAAACGAACTACAATTTCAAATATTTTAAATTTAAATATTAGTAATTTTTTTGGAATTTAGTGAGATATTTATCTTTCATGAATATTCTAATTCCAACATAGATAACTTGTCTCTGGCCGAACAAAAAGAGAATTAATTTATATGTGAATAAATCGTCCCAAACATTTTTAAATGTTAAACAAAAAAATAAAAAAGAGAAGCCTGGTCCACAACTTCTAGTTGAAAGTTCAAAAAAGTAAGAAAAAAGAAACTTCTAGTTGAACTCATTTAGTTTGTTGGATTTATCAGAGAGTCGTTCATAAATTTAAATTTAAAAACTCAAGATATTAGCTATTGAAAGTATATCTTCCTAATTATCTTGTTGGATTGTATTTTCTACTCGGTTGTTTGAATAAAATGGATTGCTTACACCTAATTATCCAAAAAAATCGATCCGGCTTTTCTACAGTATACCCACTGTGGGTAAGATGTATCTTATTCGATCGATATGTACTCCCAGTTTGTGAATAAACTTNATCTTGTTGGATTGTATTTTCTACTCGGTTGTTTGAATAAAATGGATTGCTTACACCAAATTATCCAAAAAAATCGATCCGGCTTTTCTACAGTATACCCAGTTTGTGAACAAACTAACTCTTAGCAGAAGTCTTCATAACCTTTTGATATTAAAATGGAATTGAGAAAAGTCTGCACACAATTACCCACCGGGGTGGTTCCATGGGTACCAATCGAATTTCTCTTCTTGAATGGGTCCGAGTTTTGGAATTTATATCAAAATTTAATAGATGATTATTATCTTAGTATAATTAGGGTTCATTTTTTAGAATAGTAACGAGTGTAGTTAAAAGTCTCATGATCTTATCTTTAAAAACCTATCGAAATACATATAAATACTCCCTTTTGCTCTTACTAAAAAAAAAAAAAGGAGATTTATTATTAAAGAAATTTCTTCGGTGCTTTTCAGGATCTCTGGAGTGGTTATGGTAGTAACAGTAGATGAAAATACCCAAACCAGCTGTGCCTAGAATTTTTCCTAATCACAAGAATAACCTATTACACAAGATCCAAAACCAGCTTCACTGCCACTGTCAAACAATAAGTGATATTTGGCCCTTCATTTAATGTTTGTTATTTTAATCATCTCCCATAGCCATCTCCATTGTTCACTAGAATTTCACTTAACACAGACCCGATAATTTGATAACCAGTCAATATAAGATTAGGATAAAATTATACTGTTCAAATTTATTTATTTAATTATATATTCAAAATAATGTGTAAAAATTTTACACATTGAATGTTTGGTGAAATTAATAGACCCCACTAATCCTACCACTCATACTGATTTAAAAAATAAAATTTTATAAATTATTCGGTAATTAAACCATTGCTCATAAGATTCCTAGATATGAATTTAACCTTAATGAATTCGAATTAAATTGAGGTTAACTTGTTAAACTCATTTCATAATTCGGCACAAACCCACCTATACGTGCCCCCCAACTTGATTAAAAAACAAATATAATCATACACCATCAATAATAATTGATATATGAATTATATAAATTTTAACATGACACGACATGAACTAAAGCATTGTCAACCCTAATACCACCTAACTTGTTCTCCTATTTTTTTTTAGGCTGGCTGGATAAATTATACCATAGTTCTTTAAATGAACCCACATACATTTTGTGTTCCCCAACTTCGGCAATTGGGTCAGTCCACTTTGTGCAATTAAAAATTTGATAGATTATTAGCTTTGTATTACTTTTAAGTAATTGAAAAAGTGTATTGGACATTTGAATAATCCTTGCCCTATCTTTGGTCGTGTCTTATGTGATGCATTTCTCTAGGAAAGTCCCTTTAAACTTGAGCCGCCTGGACCTTATTATAAAAATAGCTAAACTCACTTGATATAATTTTAGTAAATTGTTTCAAATTCTTAATTCTGATTCTGACTCTATTTTGGACATATGACTAGATCTAAGCACCATATTGGACGAGGCCATTTCGCAGCCATGAAAGCGGCGAATATATTGGTAACCATCACCAATAGGAATGGCAGTGGAGTAGAAAAAAAAAATATTCGTTCAAATTTGTTCTATTTGAATCAGGAGTGAACTATATATATTGAACGGTAAACGTATACAGGAATATCCATATAAATCCGTGTGAGGATGAATGCGGGGATGAACTTACTTTTACCCTCGCCCTCCCCCGCTATACCCATCCTCAGCTATATCTGTGGATGGAGATAGGGATGAAAACTATACCTGTTAACGGAGATAGACCGAGAATGAACATAATTTTTTTAAGTAGGTACAAGAATGAAGACTATACCCTCTACCCCGCTTCTGTTCACTGACATTCCTAATCACCAATGATTTAAGGGGCTCAAGTGCCCCGTCGTGCAAAATATATATTTTTAATTTCTCTCAATATTAAATCATCATAATAATTCAAATAATGTGGACTTAACATTAGATGAAATTGACAAAAAAATAAATTAATAAATTGAATGTGATCTAGATGTACGACCCAGAGATGGTTGTTCTTGTGACAGGATATTGTGTAGACGAAAAATCAATGTATAATCTTTTTAACAACTTTTATATAAACTCTGCATTATGAAACTTTTTTTTTGGTTAGACACTATTACACAGAGGGGAAAACGATGTTCAAACCCACAACCTTAAAATCTAACAATGGAACGGTGATCATTAAACTAACCGCTAACCCCAACCAATTATGTAATTCTCTCTCACAAAGATCGAACTTAGGACTTCACAGATTATAGCATTCTGGTCCATTTGAGTTATCACACCCTTCTTATCTTTATATTTTTCCACTGTCTACGCAGAACCTAATAAAAGACACATCAATTGCTACATATAATTCTCCTTCTCCATAACTATTTTCTTTTAGCACCTAAATTTATTTGGTGAATGCCATTAATTTTCTGAACCTTGGTCTGACTCTAACATTAATTGTTCATCCAATAGGCACACGAACATTGAATGGGATTTGTATATGAAAGTTACAGCATTTGACAATGTCTTCAGGCAAAACTCATAATTAACTTCAACAAACAAAATAATGACTTGAATCCAATATTTACAGTTGAGCCCCTACCAATTTTTTGATAGGGTTTTTTTTTTTTTTTAAAAAAAATTTTGGGGGGTGGGTCACTGTTTTGAAATGGGAGGGAAAGGTGAAGTTTGAACTTGCAATTTAACGATCCAACGGCGGGTTCCGAAGTCATTAGGCCACCGCTAATCTTCATTTTCTTTTTGGATAGGTTCGGGTGTTATTAGAAGGGAGAAGGCTAGGATAAAAAATTGTGATACCATATCTCTAAATTTTATAATTTTAATGGGTCATTTTTCCTCTAATTAAAATGCCTTCTCCACATAAGTAAGCATGATACTTTGTACAATTCATAATATATAACACCATTTTCTTCATATACCCCTAATTGTTGATGCGTGCAGAGGTACGAGCATATAGAATAAATAATGCTCAATTTTTTCCTATACTTTTTAAGGGTTAACTACCTT